CCATGTAGTACTTTCTGGGCTGTTCTTACCACAATAAATTTACCTTCTAATGTAAAGAATCATATTAGCAGATATGTGCTGTTCATTTTCTGCAATACATTTCATATACCAATTCAAAGCAGGCTGTATGTCAAAATTATGCCTATTATTCCTGCTCTGGGGATAGGATACACAATTTTAGGGAGACACCTGCAAGAGAAAATATTGGAAACTCTTTTCTGCTGGGCTGCTATTGTCAGGATCTGGGTGAAGATTGCTATCAGCTCTTCATATACACTGCTGTGAGGTTATATATGTTTGACAGAAATTATTTTTCACAAGTTTATTCTGGCTCCTAGTACAGCTTGCCTGTGACATAACTTGTGTCCCTAGAAAACTGCAATTTTAAAACTGAAGCTGGCAGAAAAAAATAAATGTACAGTATTGCCTGCAGGATGTTAATCCTTCTGTTATTGTCCATGGAACAGTAAGGAGAGATCACATCTGTAGCTGACTTGATTTTTGGCAAGACCTAAGTTTTGTTTATTACAGAATTACTGTTTTTCTAGTTCAAGAAAAACATGTTTAGTTTCTGTTATGCTCTAAGGTGAATTTTGACTTAATGTGTTGTTCTACATGGATGTTGAAGGAGAACTATTGGTAACACAAACAATAGAAAATATATGAAGTTAAATCAGCTTCTTGTAAGAGCCCATTTAGTTCTGTAAATGATATGGAAATTTGTTTGATACCAATAATGTCTGAATGTGGTATGGCATTATAATGGTCAGTGCATGTCTGCTAATGCCAATGTAAATGTAAGTTTGCCAGAGACAAAAGTTCAGGAAAAGCAGAGCTAATATGGATCTTCTGTTTGTTGTGATTTGCTAGTTTTTTCCCAAAAATCCATTAAAAGACATCATCATATCATTATCTACCGGGAATAGTGCAACACTGTTATGACAGAAATTTGAGGAGTATTTTAATCAGTCTTTGTCCAAGTCTTTTTGGAAGTCCTGAGGTAAAAGCAACATACACACAGTGATTTTTAAAAAACTCATTTCTTGGGCTTTGCTACAGTACAGAATATTTGAAGTACCAAGTGAATTTGGAAAAGGTAATGAATTGCTTGGTTTTGATTTTCATTTTGATAATTATGTTGTAAATGCTATTTGAAGCTGATAAAAGTGAATAAGTTAATCCTGTTTTTTACCCCCAGGATTTGCAGATTTTGATTTTATGGATGAATGATGCATGTTATGGTCTGACCATCAGAGGGAGCTTGTATTTCACGAACAAAAAAGTTACTCTTCTGTGTATGCAGATAACTATTTCATTTGCTTCTGGTCCTTTGTTTTTAAGAAAAGTTGATTTGTTGGGTTAAATATTTTAATACAGTTAGGACTGCACCAGACAGTCATGTAGTGCACCTAATTAGTCATTTCCTTTAACTTTGGTTTTCTAAAAATGACATCTAGTCTAATCTTACTAAATTGATCT